CTAGCCTCAGAGAGTGCACCCTTGGCTTCCTTCCCACAGCTCTTCATCTATAAAGACACCTTGGACCTGGAGGACAAAGAAGACACCAGGCATTAGTCCCCTGAAACCCCTTTCATACAATTTTGCTAAGACTAACACATAATCCATATAGTGACACACAGATAATTAGGTTAACCTTACTGTTGATTGATTTTCCATTTTTCTGTTTGCCTTATTTGTTTGTTTTGCATTTTATTTTTCCATTTTTATGAAGATTGCTTTGTTTGTATCTTTCTATTTTTGTGCTATTCATTCTGTTTATTTCTTCCAGTTTGTGATCCTGATGTAGTTACAATGAAAATCAACTTGCATGCAGCCACTGACATGTGCACTATGCTGCCAGAGGTATTCATCCACCCCTCCAAATTATTAAACTGAGGTGCCCCACTCTCTTCCATGGCTACGGGTGCATGCAGTCAACCACCCAGGCATGCATCCAGCTCCGACAGACAGTTGTGAAAAGATCAGTCACTTTCAGGTTCCCAACAAAATCCAGCATGGTGCCATGATGGGACACCACCAACGCAGTGGGTCTAGTCCTGACTCTTCATGTGACCTATAGAGTGGCCCTACCCCAGGACGTGGAGAGCCCCCTGAAAAGGGGGGCTCCATGGTTGAACTGCCACATCCACACCAACGCCACCAGGTATGATGTAGGGCATCAGCTGATGAGGTTGAAGTTGTTTCTCAGGAACTGTGCTTGGTCTCTTTGATCCAGTGAAAAGAACTCTGGAGGCTTCAACATACCAAGACATTTGAACAGCCTCCCACCCCTGAACTCCATGGACAGTCTCCACAGAGGAGTGGAAGCTGTTGTAACTGCAGAGAGTGGGCCAGCACCAATTTGGGCCCTATGGGTCAAGAATCGGCTTTGATTCATGCTCCTTTGCATGAGAAGGCAGGTGGACAGATGCTTTTGGAAACACGGTGTAGTATGCTTGCGGTGAAGACATGTTTACATTACAGTGAGATTCCAAAAGGGGGCCTTATGCTCCCTCTGGTTGGATGACTGATTTGTCTCTGACGTTCAGGTCGGTCCTCCAATACAGGTTATAATTCTCAGTTTTTGATTGACATGATAAAATCATGTCAAAAGGGGGAATTGTAAGAAGTGATTCTTATAGGCTCTAGTTACTGTATAAGCTTTAGCTACTTTTCATAGGTTTAGTTCCCTTTAGTTACCTTTTAGTTCTTCATTGTCTTCTAGTTACTTTTCATACCTTTACTTTCCTTGCTTATACAGGTTAAAACTGTATTGATGATTGTCCAGAACTACTGAGCTTTGGTTACTTTGATACATTTATTTTCCTTGCATATATATCTTCCAATTGTATTGATGAGAGTCAAGTGATAACTGGAGTAGAAATAGACTACTTTAACTTCTGTGTAGACATAGTGTTTGTATTCATGAGGTCCTGCTTTGTCCTGTAATAGGATTACACAGATAGGGGGTCTGCAGCGCAGATGACCCATTGTTCAGTTGCCGCCTGGAAAATCACATCACAACACACACACACCTGGTTTTGATCACATTTCAGCATGAATTGTTGCACCTTTTTCTGGGGCGGACCTAGCCCAAGAATATAAATGTAATGTAAAAACATAACTCTGGATTCAGAAGCCAGTGTTCCTGCGGGAGCTCTGTCTCTCTGAATCCAGTGCTGTAAAGACTTTCCTGTGATCAGACTTTCAGTAAACTTTGTTGATTTTAAACAGCCCTCTCCTGTCTTCACTTCTCGTGCTTCCAACAAAAGAATTGGGTTATTTTCTAACAAGGTATCAAAATGTTCAAGTCTCCCAGGACATTCATTCTTCGACTCAGAGTTTTTATACACTTCACACTTCTGAAATATTTTGCTTTATTTTGAAAATTTTCCCCCATTCAAATTAATGGGAAAATTGTACTTCAGCATACTTTGAAGTAGATATGCCTTTCAGGTGTCAAAATGTTCAGCATTTTATTAATAAGTTCAGCATACCTTCAGCTAGAAAAGCCATTCAGGTATCAAAATGTTCAGCTCTTCAAGGCCATTCCTACTTTATTGCATCTCACCCTTCAGATTATTCAACAAAGAACTTCAGCCATTTCTTCTCATCTTTCAGCTGTTTCAGCAATTGATTTCAGGCATTTTCAGGATGATCTTTCAGCTTATCAGCATCCACACGCATTTACGACAGGAAATGCATTTCTCTAGTTTTCTTTCATTTTTTGATACTGCTTTTCTTACAAGTGAAATACTTCATAAAAACCCAGTCAAAGCAATTCATTTAAACAACTTTTATTTATTAAGCTTTTACAAATAAAGTAACAAATCTCATTGTTTTGTAGCGCAAAGCGCAATTTTTTTTTATATGAAGCTTGAACACTCTATATTTAGTGCAAAACATACCGTTAAAGGCTGCCGATGACTCACTACATGGATGTTTTTTATTTTTATTTCATTCATTTATCTGTTTTTCTGACCAATTTTGTACATTGCCAAACACGTTACAGAAAAATGAAACCACTGAATTAAGTTAGTGTGGCGCTAGAGACGTTAAAACTGCAGATAGTGAAAAAAAAAAATGACATCACCAGAGAGAACAGAAATATCATGAACATGAGGAAAAAAAATGTTTTCAGTAACACTGTTGGCGTGCTCGAGCCATCCCACAGGCGCAGGCTACATGAAACAGCAAAGAGATGCACTGAATGAATCTGTGTGTTTGATGTGTTGATGCATGAAAAAGTTTTTATTTTTATATATGGGCACTTCTAGAGTAAAAGGCATAAGGGGTAAGTGAGTTCTGAACAGGAAAAAACTGTAAGATACAGAAACCAAACCTAATACTAATGTGAGTTAAAATGATGTATTGCTACACTGAATGCATCACCAGAACAATAATCCTACTTTCCCCACTTTAACTTCAGGAAAATTCACAATAAGAGCGGCCGCACCAGAAAACTCCCAAGCTTTTCACAGTAAGTCCTCTTCACAAAAAATCTTCACAATAATTTCACCCACTGATGTTTAACATTAGAGCGTTAAAGAATGAGAGACCTCAAGCAGGGGCACAACTATCAAACCCCAACTGTAACTTCAGAGCTTGATAGCTTACAGTAGCATCCTATCATAGTAATAAAGTAGTAGAGACACAGCAAATTATGATCAAACCGCTACTGTGAAATTATTTTGAGGCTCAAGCTGCTGCAAAGTAAAATTCCAGGCAACCAAAAGAGCTCCAGTGAGTAGCAGCAGGCAAATAGACCTAATTTTCATTTTCATTATTCACCGCTGATGTTTCCACTCCACTGACAAAAAGTCAAATGGCACCAAGTTGGTGGCATCATTATAGGTTTGACAGAATGCTGATAATCAGAACTAAAGCAAAGTGGCTCAATGACAATTCACAGCTTCAACCCAACTTCCCTAGTAGTAAAACGTTTGCATTATATTTCATGAAAAATGTCACAAAAATAGGAAAAAACATGTTTTGTACAAACTTTACAAAGTAAACCCTTCTTAATATTTTAACGTGTCTCCAGAACACCCGTTCCCAACCCAAGATGTTTTTAAGTGAATGTCAAAGTTTGTACAAGATATGTTTCAAAAAAAGGGTTTCAGAGACCTTGAATCTCAAATCACCATAAATTCACTACCCACATTCATTTCATCATTTCAAATCACCACCATCACTACCTGTACAATCACCACCTCCACCTCTGGACCAGCACTTTGATGCCCTCATACTGTATTTTAATATTTAAATGTTTGGTTTAGCAAAAACTATTTCTATGAATAACACCCATTTAACCCCCAGTGGTGCAGCTTCAAAAACATATGGTGGGAACAGAAGTGCCTAAGAAAATACTGTATTCATACCTTTTTGCCACAGAAGCAATAGATGAAGAGGTGTTTCTAAACATATCTGTTAAAAGGACAGTGCTACTGACTTCACAAAAGCTTTCCGATAATAAAAGATAAGCATTCAGGGGGCTTAAAAAAATGATCTGGGTTACATTAACAGACAAGATGGTCCCTAGAGTGGCTGTACACCTTTGCAGTCTGTACATTTTTATGCTGTTCTTGACCACTCATAATCTGGTCACTTACTATGTTGGGGGTAATTTTACAGCAAACCTATGCAAAGTTTACAATAGATGTACCTTGATATAGTGAACAACATCAGCCATTCACGCTGTTTTAGAGGCTAAGTGGACCTGAGTGCTGCTATTACCATTAAACCCACTTGAACCGACAGCAGAGTTTATGGCCAAATTCACATGAAGGAAAACAAAATTGGATAATAAAAAAAGGCTTAACTTGAGTTCACTGTGTCAGTGCATCCTCTCCTAACCGTACGCTGCACTTGGGCCAGTGCCTCTAAAGTACAAAGTGGGCCATGCTTCAAAAACAAAATCAAAATCAAACTAAAGAATACCATATCTACATTTACCCACCCATATTTACATGTAAAACCTTGCAAAAAGAAAAAAGTCACACTGGTAAAGTTTTAATCCTGTTGATGGTGTAGACATCACTTAAAGAAATAACACTGATGCTCAAGTGGTGGCATTTTCCACTCTAACTCATTGGTTTAAATGGCAGCAGAGAAAGGGTCAATTAATTGTTCTATAAATTCAAGGTTACTGGTTATTTTATTTTATCCAAGATGGGGAAAGTTTGAATCTTTGCATTTTGAAGAACACAAACCAGTTCAAGTGCACACAGCAGCAGCTAACAAAATCATTACTGCACTCCTGCTCCATTAAACAGCCACTGCTATCAGCACTGACTTCACCCTAAAGCTCTCCACACATGCTGTCAGGTGTGTTTGCTTTAGCGCAAGTCCTTGAACCCTGACAAAGAAGCAACAAGAAGGATGCAAGGCACAATTAACTACCTCCTGTAAACACCAGAGGCTCTATGGGGAAAGG